CCCTTCCTCCCCCCTCCCCTTCCCTCCCCCCTCCCCTTCCTCCCCCCTCCCCTTCCCCCCCCCCCCCTCCCCTACCTCTCCCCCCACCCTACCTCTCCCCCCCACCCTCTCTCCCTCACCCTCTCTCCCTCACCCCCCTCCCGCTCTTTCCCCTCCCCTATCCCCCCCTCCCTTCTCCCCCCCTCCCCTATCCCCCTCCCCTCTCCCCTCCCCTATCCCCCCTCCCTCTCCCCTCCCCTATCCCCCTCCCTCTGCCCCCTATAACCTGTCCTCTGGAACAGGACATCGCATTTTGTCGTAAAAGTCCCCAACGGCCATATCTGATGTACTATAAATCATAGCGGCTCGCTAAAACAACTGGCTGTTCCCCCCCCCCTCCTTTTCTATTCGTGGATCCTCAGTTCGGTTAGGTTCGGGCAATGAAATACACCATTATCTGTATGGTGAGAACTTGAGAGGACGGGCTGCTTCCCAAGTGTCTTAACTGAATTCAAAGATATGTTTCTATGCCTTTATCTGTGGGGGGGGGAGAGACTCACCTAGTTGTACTTGCGGAATTGAGCTTTGGCTCTTTGGTCCCGCCTCTCAACCGTCAGTCAAGTGGTGGGAGGGGGTTGGTGAAGATAAGGATGTGTTCACACGAGTAGAGAGTCAGAACAGTTACAGCCCCGCTCCTGTGTCAGGTAAGTCCATTACGGGCTCACCATAGCCCGTGCTACTTGGCACTTTGTTCCCAGGAGCTGAATCTTTAACAACAACGAGTAGAGATACAGTTGGTGGAAGAGTGTGTGCACGTTATTGCCTTCCCTGCAGCCCTATATGTTGAGGTCGTACGGTGCACCAGGCCCTCGTACGGGTGGTCCTACGGTACACGAAGCACCGTAGAAGAGGTCCTACGGTACACGAAACACCGTAGAAGAGGTCCTACGGTACACGAAACACCGTAGAAGAGGTCCTACGGTACACGAAGCACCGTAGAAGAGGTCCTACGGTACACGAAACACCGTAGAAGAGGTCCTACGGTACACGAAACACCGTAGAAGAGGTCCTACGGTACACGAAGCACCGTAGAAGAGGTCCTACGGTACACGAAGCACCGTAGAAGAGGTCCTACGGTACACGAAGCACCGTAGAAGAGGTCCTACGGTACACGAAGCACCGTAGAAGAGGTCCTACGGTACACGAAACACCGTAGAAGAGGTCCTACGGTACACGAAGCACCGTAGAAGAGGTCCTACGGTACACGAAGCACCGTAGAAGAGGTCCTACGGTACACGAAGCACCGTAGAAGAGGTCCTACGGTACACGAAGCACCGTAGAAGAGGTCCTACGGTACACGAAGCACCGTAGAAGAGGTCCTACGGTACACGAAACACCGTAGAAGAGTAGATGCGGTTCACGCTCTTAACTGTTCCTTTTGCCCAGCTTTTTTTTGTGTGTGGTGGGGGGAGGGGAGGGGTTGTATCTGGTGTTGCTGTGCCGGGTACCTTAATGTACCTTAGTGCACCTTTGTGTACCTTAGTGCACCTACTCCACATGTTGGGTTGGTAGGCTGGCACCTCGGACGGTAGGCACTCCTGGCGGTGGTGCCGTTAAACACTGATTTACCCCCTCAACAAATTCCACCCTTGTGGCTGGTGTGGCTGGGCTCTATATTGCCTTGACCTGATGATAGAGATAGGGATAATGGGCACTAAGGTCTTGAACGTTTTGGGTCATTTGACTCTGACTTTCGATGGGAATTTCGCCCACTGTAACTAGCAAGGCGCGACGCGAACGCCGCTAATCTGATGAGCTGGTGGAGATGGGATTGTAGTTAGTAATGTTGTAAAGCACAAGGGGGTCAGATGAGGATGTTTTTGTGTGTGTGTGTCTGGGAATTTCGACCCCTGTGCGTGCATGTGGCTTGTTACTGTTGTGCCGCTGCGCCTGGGATGCCATGAGGTATTTGTGTTGAATTTGTGTTGAATGTTGAATTTGTGTTGGGGGTTCCGCTGACAGGTGTGTTGGTCTGTGAAGGGCTCCTGTTTGTTACTCTAATGACATTCACCCTCTGACTGGCCAGTCATGTGTGCTATAGTTCCCCCCTACCACGCGGGACAGTGGTAGGGGGGGGGGGGGACTCAGGCCTTTGTCGCGTGGGACGGCGGCTGTCGCGCTCACGGGATGGCGGTTTTCGCGCACGCGCGACGGCGGGCCCCTCTGAACCACGACCCCGACGCGCCTGTGACAACGCTGCCGCCCATTTCCTTAGGCTTGGTGACGGCCGTTTGTTCCGAGAGCCTCACCGAAGGCGTGAAATCAACTCAAAAACTCCAACAGGAACATAAACAGTGGAAAGTGCTGATTGATTGATGAAGATTAAGCCACCCAAGAGGTGGCACGGGCATCAATAGCCCATAAGTGGTGGCCCTTTTGAGCCATTACCAGTATCAAGAGCTGATACTGGAGATCTGTGGAGGCCTGACTGCACCCTGCGTGACGGGAGATGTCTCCTGGACCAAGTGGTGACCAGATGGAAAGTGCTCAACCCTACCCGTCCTCTTATGCACTATCGACAAAAAAAGGCCGTAATTTGACACTGAAAAATAATTGAAATTATACATATATATATATATATATATTTTCTCCCAAAACAGCAAGTTAAGGGTCCTCTGGTGTAGGTTAGGAGGGCAGGAAGTTCTCCCGAGGTTTTAAAACGTCATGAAAACCGTCAATTAAATGTGTCCTCCCCTAACCTGACAGCTATAACCAGAGGACCCAAAACAGAAAACGGGACAAGTACATCACTTTCGTCAGCCGATTTCATCTTGAAATACGTCGGTTTTTTTAGCCTGAGTTGCGCATACGAGCGAAAGGCGACGTAATTTGTTAGAGGGGGGCAGGTTGCAGGAACCACACCGGAACACCACGACCAACACCGGAACACCACGACCAACACCGGAACACCACGACCAACACCGGAACACCACGACCAACACCGGAACACCACGACCAACACCGGAACACCACGACCAACACCGGAACACCACGACCAACATCAGCAGCTTAAGTTGCACCACCAGGAACATCACCACCACCAGCAGCAACACCACCACAGCGGTCAATAACAGCAGCAGTTGCACCAGCAATACTACAGATCACTACACTTGCAACAGTACCAACAGCAGAACGATAGCATCAGCAACAGCAGAGAATGCAGCAGACTGCAATAATCAATACACAGCCAAGTCTGCTGCTTCATCCTCCACCACACTACCGTCACCATCACCGTCACCATCATCACCTCTCCTGGCCAAAGGATACGAGATAGACTAAGTGTTTTCCCCAACCTGAGTCACAGTTAAACTGAGCCATTTTAGAGGTCGGTGCGAGACTGGCAACGTAACGCAAGTGCATGGCAAGTAATGTGAGTGTACAGCGACCATAACCTCGTTGTTACAGTGTCATTGTTGGCAGTGACGTTACAGCCGTCGGTGTTACTGTCTTCCCTGTCACTCTGGTGGTGTCACCTGGGTCTCCTGTCACTCTGGTGGTGTCACCTGGGTCTCCTGTCACCTGTCACTCTGGTGGTGTCACCTGGGTCTCCTGTCACTCTGGTGGTGTCACCTGGGTCTCCTGTCACCTATCACTGGTGGTGTCACCTGTCTTTTTATCAATAACTCTCCGACGTTGACTCATCCTCTTTCTCTTGGCTCAGGCTTCCGGCTTTCTCCCTTTGTTTTGAAGTCTTTGTGTTTTTTGGGGTTAGCGGATTGTTTCCCAGTCGTTCCCTTGCTGCCCCCCCCCCCGTCTCCATACTCTCCTCTCTCTCTCTCTCTCACCCTTCACTCTCCTTCCCTGTCTCCTCTCTCTCTCTCTCTCTCTCTCTCCTCTCTCTCTCTCTCTCTCTCTCTCTCTCTCTCTCTCTCTCTCTCTAACCCTTCACTCTCCTTCCCTGTCTCCTCCTCTCTCCTTCCCTGTCTCCTCCCTCTCTCTCTCTCTCTCCCCCTCCCCTCCCCCACTCACTGCACCATCCCCTCCTCTCTCCTTCCCTGTCTCCTCCCTCTCTCTCTCTCCCCCCCCCCCCCCTCCTCCACTCACTGCACCATCCCCCTCCCTCTCCCCCACAACTGGATATTCACGGTCACGGGCATATTTTTGCTTTCCAAATTCTGGTGGAATTAGAGGTCAGGACCCCACACTGCAGCTATACATTGACCCTTTGTTGTCACTTGGGCGTGTGGGCGTGGACTGAGGAGAGTGGGCGTGTGGATGTATGGGGGGTTAAGATGTGGTAAATTAAGACGTGCTCAATATATATTGAAGTCAGTATTAAGACGTGACCAGTATGAAGAAATAAATATACAATATGATATGTAAACAATACCAGTGTTGCTGTTCCCCCAGGTTTGTAAACAATACCAGTGGTGCCGTTCCTCCAGGCTTGTAAACAATACCAGTGGTGCCGTTCCTCCAGGCTTGTAAACAATACCAGTGTTGCCGTTCCTCCAGGCTTGTAAACAATGCCAGTGTTGCCGTTCCTCCAGGCTTGTAAACAATGCCAGTGTTGCCGTTCCTCCAGGCTTGTAAACAATGCCAGTGTTGCCGTTCCTCCAGGCTTGTAAACAATGCCAGTGTTGCCGTTCCTCCAGGCTTGTAAACAATGCCAGTGTTGCCGTTCCTCCAGGAACCAGAATATCTTAATACATAGCCTTCATAGAACGTAACTGAATACACTACTGGTAAAAACTTAAAAACAAATGCAAGTGTACAAGGAGTAATACATGCAGAGATGGAAAGAGGAGGAAGTGTAGGACTGTGAGGTGTGGATACAACAAGAACTGTGTGGATACAACACAGAACTCAGCAATGTTTGTGTTAATGTGGGTGTCCTCACTACACGTGCTCGGAGTCCTCCACATCCTGTCATTGTGTCGTTGATCCTCCTCGGGCTTGGATGACACGGTGATTGTCACTTGGTTTATAGTGTGTCATGTTACGGGGTCATGCCGCTCATGTTATCCTCTTGATATGGCTTTATTAAGGGGACAGCTATGGCGTGATATCAACCCTTAAGTCTCTCACTCTCTCTCTGACCCTTGAAGAATTTCATCTCCCAAATGATACGTTGTATCTGGCCTCCTGCTCCCTACACCTACCTACATTACATTTGTTCGGGTTAAACTCTTAACAACCATTTGTTGAACCATTCCTTCAGTTTGTCCAGGTCTTCTTGAAGCCTCAAGCAGTCCTATGTCATAATCCTCATAATTTTGGCATCATCAGCAAACATTGAGAGGAATGAGTCTATACCCTCTGGGAGATCATTTTCGTACATCAGAAACAAGATAGGTCCGAGTACAGAGCCCTGTGGGACTCCACTGATGACCACGCCAATCTGAGGTATCATCCCCCACTGTAACTTCAGGGTGTGCGCGCGCGCGTATGTACGCGTGCGTACCGTTTTGCTAGTGTTATATGAGGACTAAGGGATGCCAACCAAAGCCAAACTGCCCCACTCGCCTTCTCAGGAGCGTCGGCGTCTCTGTGCCAAATGAGTCATGCCTTAAGCGGCGTCATACATGTGACTGTTAGGTTGTCATTCCACCACGTAATATAACGTCATTGTCACGTCTTGTGGTCAGCTGAAGCAAGAATTGTATCACATACGGAGAGGAACATGAGGGATGGAATGTGTCAGTGAAGGGAAGCTGCCCATCGTAGGAGACGGCCCTGGTCGTCTTCCCTTGAGTTTATCTTGAGATGATTTCAGGGCTTTAGTGTCCCCGCGGCCCGGTCCTCGACCAGGCCTCCACCCCCCCAGGAAGCAGCCCGTGACAGCTGACTAACACCCAGGTACCTATTTTACTGCTAGGTAACAGGGGCATAGAGTGAAAGAAACTCTGCCCATTGTTTCTCGCCGGCGCCTGGGATCGACCCCGGGACCACAGGATCACAAGTACAGCGTGCTGTCGCCGACCGGCTCCCCGTGACCGACCTCCCCTGGCGTGAGGTGGTGGGGCGGGTCGTCTGCTTCCCACCCCACACTCCTCAAGTCCTCCTTAGATTTATTGAACAAAGAGAATCCAAAGTTTATCAGGAATTTTTATCCATAAACCCGGATTTCTCTCCTAGTAAGACCAAGTTCAGTAGCACAATCGACTTGAGAATGGTCCAGGACGGACCGAAACGTCGTCGTCCCTTCACCTTCTAGTGTGTGGTCTGGTCAACATACTTCAGCCACGTTATTGTGACTCATCGCCTGCACGTTTAGTAGCAAATACGGGTCGCTGCAAGCAACAACCTGTTGGACCAAGTTATCGCAAGTCGAGCCTGGCCCCCGGGCCGGGCTCGGGGAGTGGAAGAATTCCCGAAACCTTCTCCAGGTACACTCCAGGTAAACGAAATTTTCCGTTAAGGTAACCAATTCCTGGACGCACATCTCCACATGTACAGCCAAGTGTAACGGTCATAGAACATAAAACATTCTTGAGTCACCTTGACAATGTCGAGACTTCAATCCAATATAACATTGCAGCGAGGGGCCGAGCCTGCTTGACGCTTGGTCCCCCAGCAAGCATGTCTGGCGTCACCATAACAGTGCTTGTTGTTGTTGTTGTTGTTACAGATTCAGCTACTCGGAACAAGTTCCAAGTAGCACGGGCTATGGCGAGCCCGTAACTTACCTTGCACAGGAGCAGGGCAAGTAGCACGGGCTATGGCGAGCCCGTAACTTACCTGGCACAGGAGCGGGGCAAGTAGCACGGGCTATGGTGAGCCCGTAACTTACCTTGCACAGGAGCAGGGCAAGTAGCACGGGCTATGGTGAGCCCGTAACTTACCTGGCACAGGAGCAGGGCAAGTAGCACGGGCTATGGTGAGCCCGTAACTTACCTGGCACAGGAGCGGGGCAAGAAGCATGGGCTATGGTGAGCCCGTAACTTACCTGGCACAGGAGCGGGGCAAGTAGCACGGGCTATGGTGAGCCCGTAACTTACCTGGCACAGGAGCGGGGCAAGTAGCACGGGCTATGGTGAGCCCGTAACTTACCTTGCACAGGAGCAGGGCAAGTAGCACGGGCTATGGCGAGCCCGTAACTTACCTGGCACAGGAGCGGGGCAAGTAGCACGGGCTATGGCGAGCCCGTAACTTACCTAGCACAGGAGCGGGGCAAGTAGCACGGGCTATGGCGAGCCCGTAACTTACCTGGCACAGGAGCGGGGCAAGTAGCATGGGCTATGGTGAGCCCGTAACTTACCTGGCACAGGAGCGGGGCAAGTAGCACGGGCTATGGTGAGCCCGTAACTTACCTTGCACAGGAGCGGGGCAAGTAGCACGGGCTATGGCGAGCCCGTAACTTACCTTGCACAGGAGCGGGGCAAGTAGCACGGGCTATGGCGAGCCCGTAACTTACCTGGCACAGGAGCGGGACAAGTAGCACGGCCCACAGTGAGCCCGTAATTTGTGATAACAGTGCATTGATTGATGAAGATTAAGCCACCCAAGAGATGGCACGGGCATGAATAGCCCGTAATGAGAGTGCAGGTTGCAAGCTGTGTGTATACAAGCTGAAGACGCTGACGCGGTTCCTCGTGGAGGAATGCTCTGAACTCTCTACTGTCAAGCACCTCAACCTCTTAAATGGTGCATTAAGATTATACCGGGATCCTCCAGGGAGCCGGTCGGCCGAGCGGACAGCACGCTGGACTTGTGATCCTGTGGTCCCGGGTTCGATCCCGGGCGCCGGCGAGAAACAATGGGCAGAGTTTCACCCTATGCCCCTGTTACCTAGCAGTAAAATAGGTACCTGGGTGTTAGTCAGCTGTCACGGGCTGCTTCCTGGGGGTGGAGGCCTGGTCGAGGACCGGGCCGCGGGGACACTAAAGCCCCGAAATCATCTCAAGATAACCTCAAGATACCGATAGCTGGTTTATAAATATATTTAAGACCTCAAGACCTCATTAACGAATGTACCGGAGGACATCCAGCTAATGTTATATGAGGACAAAGCTCCGGATATATGGATATATATATAGATATATTAAGATATATGGAATATCTTAAGTAGCCTAATTGTTTTGATTCAAACGCTTATTACTAACCAGGACAAAGTTTCCTCAAGTATCTACTTAGGAAACCTGTACATATTTAAGCAATCATGATGGTTTTGTTTACATTTAGTAAACAGTTTACGAGTTTTGAAACTTCATAATCCAGGATTATTATCG